CACTGTCTTTCAGATGTTTTATGACAACAGAAAATTCAGACCCACAGTTCCTCTTGGAGCACAGAGGCCCAGTGTCCATGAAGGGCAAGAAAGAACCAATGCAAGTTTGGTTTCTATCCAGAAAAAATATGGGGACAGAGGTATGACTAAGCAGAGCCTAATTCTTTTTCAAGACAGTTTATAAAAATGGGGAGTTAAGTCTTAATCACTGAAAACATGTTTCATTTGAAAAGAATTCTTGTTTCCGGAATTAAACTTTTAAGTAAAGCAGCCAAAGTACTGCACTGCCAATGAGCCAATTAGACAAATAAATAGGGGATGTCCCCCAGAATGTATACACACTTTAACAGCTTTAAGCAGCCAAAGTACTGCACTGCCAATGAGCCAGTTAGACAAATAAATAGGGGATGTCCCCCCAGAATGTATACACACTTTAACAGCTGATAGTTCAATTTTGAAAATGAAATGTATTTTAATAAACACTGCCTTTATAATTATTCAAAATCTGTGTATACATTTTGGGGGACACCCTATACTTCTTAAGGGATACTTTGTGGTTGCTGGCTTTTGAAATTAAAACCAAAATCACTGGATGGAGAAGCCCTGATTTTTTTGTTCTTGCTCTGTCATCTGTCTCAAACACAACTGAGGTGTGTGGGTTGTGAAGGGAATCCCCTGGCCTTGTTTCCTCAACTCAGAGAAGGGAAAGGGGAATCGAACAGTGACCTCTTGGTTCATGTCAATGCTCACCACTGAGCAACACCAACTGGGCAACCATGAGGTTTTAAATCGTTCTAAGGGCCAAGGATCTCCCTCTAAGTGTTTGGGGAATCTTTGGCAATTCTGGTCCCTTGGGTGTGTTACCTACAGAGAAGAGTGATTTATAATTTTCCAGGATGTAAACGATTTTGTAGGGAAGCTTTAGGTTCGTGCTAGCGCTGTGGTTGTCTTCCCGCCAGAACCCACGTGCTGGAGCGGACCTCAGAACACTGGCCCCAGAGCTGAAATCCCATGACTGCCAGTGAACTGGCACACATGCAGGCCAAGCCCAGCCTCCCCCACTCGCAGTGTGTGGCATCAGAAACTAGTTGGACACTCTGTTCCCCTATTGATATATTGGTTCTGTAGAGGGGGTGAGGCTACTTGATTACATTTCTTTTCCTATATGTATACATCCCCTGAAAATGCTTTTAGAGTATAACAAGTCCTGAAAGGAATGGAAGGCCGAGTTTTAAAATATTTATCTTTATCCTCTTTCAGCTGTTTTTACTTTAAATAATTTACTTCTGGGGTTGGCATGCTTACTGATGTTTTCTGATACATTTAACTGTACCTTGAGTGTTGGTCCTTGTAGTTGGGTGGCCCTCTTTCACCCAGAGTTATGGTGGGAATGAATGCCTTAGAAAACGGTAGACAGGAATGCAGGTCCCACTCTTACAGAAAACGATTGTTTTGAAGGGTACTGTCAGCTTTATCATCACTGAAAATGAATCCCTTGTGTCTCCCCCTTCCCAAGGAAACAAGCCAGGATGATAACTGAATCTTGGACTGCGGGAGGAAGACTGGGATTAGGTTCCGGTTATCCCCTAACATCTGGCAAGCCTAGGAGCAGTTGTTACCGATGGATACAAATTCTCGTTTTGTCCTTTTCAGTGATCCCAAGCCTATCTCTTAGGTATATCTTTCACTACTCATTACTCAACTTTCGCTCTGCTTTGGATTCTTTTCAAGGTTTAATACATTATCTAAAGTTCGGCTTAAATGTGGGTAATATGTGCTTCGTGTGTCTTAAAATCTACTACAAGCATTACTCAACCTGGTAATTTGTAAGTAGTAGACACCCAAAACATATTTGTTGAATTTAGTTAAATGAAACTGAACAGTATTTGGCCTTGTGTATACAGATCATGGTTGACCAAATCTGTCTCATGCTTCATATATATGTCTATGTATATTTTAATGACTATAACATATAACAAACTTTATATCATGATGGTGTATAGCATTATAGGAATCATTTTCTAAAGGAGTGGATTGTAAGTTTTAGGGAGAAAAAAAAATGATTTATTTTCAGACTCCCAAAGTAATAATTAGTATATCATGCTAAGAAAATAGGGACTATTTTGAAGTGTGTCAATTTCCCTTCAGAAATATAGAACACACGTGTCTGTTGTTAAAATATTTGGTTGCTTATTCAAATCATGTGACAATTATAATTCCTGTAAAATGCTATTGTTTGTATTGTAGCCCTTGTATTAAATCTCATTAACTACACTCAGTGGTCACAGAAAACTGCACTCTTCCCCCGTGAGCTATTACATTAGCTTGGGATCCAGGTTCAGGACTCTAACCACTTCCAAGAATACAACTGGGACACTCTGTCAATCAGAGCCATTCCAGGCCTTTTATTCTCAGAAATGAATTTCTTTTTCTTAGTTCAGAAGGATGTGATTCTATCTGGGGCATCATGTTCAGATAACTTAGTTTAATTGCGACATCCAATGCATTCCTATTGGAATAATTGGCCTGTTCTTAAATGTCTCCATAATTTATTAATATCTATCTTTACAAAATATAGTGCAATTACTTTTGTGTAAAAATGTTTGTCTTTAAATTTAGTATTTCATATCAACACATCGATATATGTATAGACGTTCCATGTTTATGTATAAAAGAATCTGCAATAAATTATTTTTTCCACTTGTCTCTTGGCAGTTTTTTACATCAACAAACATGATATGAATGTTGTCACTTTATTAATGCTATTTTTGTACTTACATTTTATGATTTTACCTATGATAAATGTAAAATCAATTTAGACTCATTGCTGTTATAAAGTTCAATGCTCCTCTTAGATAGGCATATTCTAAAATGTGATTTTTCTTTAGAACTGACAAAATGACAGAAACAAGACTAGCTCTGGCAAGGGAGGTGGAGGAGGGAAGGAATATACAGATTAATATGCAATGACAGCAGCTCTTGAAGTGCTCACAGTCTCTTAGGAATGAAAGACATATACAAATAATAAAAAAGTGTGATATTTGTAGTGATAAGACATACTCAAGATAAGGAAAAGACTGCATAGAGAAGGAGAGGGGAGAGGGACAACAGAGTGGGGTGAGACGGTAGGAAGGGCAGTTGGATTTTATGGAGCTCTAGTTTAAAGACGAATTAGTGCCATGGAAGTAAGGACCTGCATCTCTTCATAGCTGTGGATGAAAAAGGGGCCACATACTAAACCTGTCAAGCTCAGGGAAGGCATGGCAGGCCTCATAAACTCAGAGACTGAAATTAACCACATTGGATGGTCTGAACATAAAAATTCCTAACTAAAGGCAGGGCATGGAGGGTAGTCACGTCTTAGGCCTGTATCTTCTTTGACAAAGGTCTGTCTTTATCAAAGGTTTGTATACTGTGTTTTTGCATCTAAGATAACATACCTTTGAAATGTCAGAGTAATCTTTTCCTGATCCTCGGGGCACACCCACCTCACCAGAGCAAGAGCCACAGAACCCCTCATTGTTATCTTGTCCCTAGAATACCACCCCCATGTGCTGTAATTGTTCAGTTAAGTATCCTGTAGCCACCGTGTAAAAGAAGTATTTGTCTCTCCATTTTACTTTTTATCCAGCCCCAGTGATTGCTTTGCTTTGCTTTCTCCTGCCTCCCTAATCTACCACCAATGGATTTCATGTATCCTTCCTAAATCTCCTCCTTTGATTCTAATGTATAAAATAAGTTGCAAATGGCCATTCTCCGAGAGTTTTCCCAGTTCCTTGAAATTTTGCTTCCCAGCAATTGTGATCATTTTGGCTCAAACTCTTGCTAAGACGTTTTCTTAAACTGGATGCTCTTTGGTACACATGGCCTACACACAGTGTCTATAGTGTCCTGTGTAACTCTCATATGCAGGTGTATTCTATGCATCAAGTTTGCTTTGCATGAGGCCATCTTCCTAATTCCAAAGTTTAGTGAACCAATCAGTCTGTTTCATTGGCCCCAATAACTACTGCATGCAGTCTTTTCAAAAAAAGTATTATTCTCTTTTTATTGTTCCTGTGAAATTCTTTCCCAAACATTTTTGTGTGTGAATATTTAAAAACATAAAGAAAAGTTAAAGGAGTTGCACAGGGTACAACCATACACCTGCCACTAGATTTTATAATTATTAAAAATTCACTGTATTCTGACAATTTCATTTTCTAGCTTTCTCTAGTCTGCTATATTCAAAAATTTTTGAGATACACTTCAGATACTATCAAAAATCACTTTTTTAAGGTGTCCAATTCAATGGTTTTAGTATATTCACAGGGTTGTACAACCACCTAATTACAGAATATTGGCATTATCTTAAAATTACATCCTATACACATTACCAGTCACTCCAAATTAACCACTTCCCTCAGCCCCTGACACCCACTAATCTAATCTACTTTCTGTCCCTAAGAATTTGCCTTTTCTGAAGATTTTATATTGTGATATTGTCACTTGTAATAAATTATAATATATTTGGTCTTCCTGTCTCATTTTCTGACACAAGTTTCTAAAGCCCCTGGAATTTCCTAAGTGATGAAAATGACAAAGATTTATTTTGTTATATTAATGATGACTTTTGGAATGCACCTAAGAATGGGGGCTGGTTTCCAGTGGAGCCACTCTTGTGTTTAGAAAGTTGGAACTTTCAGTCCTCTCAACCCCAGCCTCTGACCTCCAAGGCAGGGAGAGAGGTTGGAGGCTAAACCCATTACCAATGGCCAGTGATCTAATCAATCATATATGTGCAATGATCCTATATAATAAAAGGCTAATATGCAAATGAACCAAAAGGCAGATCAACCAGTTACTATAATGTACACTGGCCACTAGGGGGCAGACGCTCACTGCAGGAGCTGTCCTCTGGTGGTCAGTGCACTCCCACAGAGGGAGCATGACTCACCCAGAGGTGGGGAGCAGGCCTAAGCCGGCAGTCAGATATCCCCTGAGGACTTCCGGACTGTAAGAGGGTGCAGGCCAGGCTGAGGGACCAACTCCTCCCACCCCAGTGCACAAATTTTGTGCACTGGGCCTCTAGTACATTCATAAAAGCCCAAAAGGCCAAGTTGGAGAGCTTCCAGATTAGTGTCCAGTGAGGATGCAGAGAGAGTGGTGCGTGCAGAGGTGGGGCACAGAGGCTCTTCACCCTTCCTTTCCGGACTGTAAGAGGGTACAGGCCAGGCTGAGGGACCAACTCCTCCCACCCCAGTGCACAAATTTTGTGCACTGGGCCTCTAGTACATTCATAAAAGCCCAAAAGGCCAAGTTGGAGAGCTTCCAGATTAGTGTCCAGTGAGAGTGCAGAGAGAGTGGTGCGTGCAGAGGTGGGGCACAGAGGCTCTTCACCCTTCCCTCGCATCTTGCCCCACGAATCTCTCCTGTCTCCCTGTTCTTGAGTTAATAGACTTTTAAGTAAGTAAACGACTTCTCTGAGCTTGTGTGCCATTGTAGCACATTAATCAAACCAAAACTGGGTGTTGTGGGAATGTTAGACTTGTAGCAGGTGGGTCAGAAGCACAGAAGATGACCTAGACTTGCAATGGGCCCCTGAAGTGGGGGCAGTTTTCTAGGGCTGAGCTCTTCAATTGTGGAATCTGATACTATCTCCTAGAAGACTGATTTTCAACCAGTGTGCCGCAAGAATTTTTAAAACATGCAATATGCCTTGCAGTGTGGCTCAGCAGTTGAACATCGACCTATGAACTACGAAGCCACCGTTCAATTTCTAGTCAGGGCACATGCCCGAGTTGCGGGCTCGATCCCCAGTGTGGGGTGTGTAGGAGGCAGCCAACACTAAACCTCTTTTCCTTTAGATTGTCAAATAAATGACAATAGCCAACACAATAATAGCCATCCAGTGTGAATGAATAAAAATTATACCCCTTTTTGTCAGATTGGCAAAAAATATATATTTTGGGTGTGCTGCAGAATTTTAGGAATCAGTTTATGTGCTCCATGAGATGAAAAAGTATGAAACTTGCTATCTTAGAAGATAGTGTTAAAATTGAGTTGAATTGTAGGAAACCCAGCTGGTGTCTTGGGAAGTGTTTGGTGCTGTGTGTGTGTGTGTGTGGGGGGGAAGCCCACATTGTAAATGGGTG